GTACATTATGCGCTGCAGTGCATTGTTTGAACACATCGCAGTGTCTTCTTTTTAAATTTTTTTTTATTTTCAACACATTAATTTAACTGAATGGCAAAGCGTTGTAATCTTTGCTGTACGTAGTGCGTTGTAATATGCTACGTTGTGATTAAAATGTGTGCCTGCATCATTTTATCGCAACACACACCAACACAGCACACAAACGGCACTGCAGATCAGATGATTACCACAACAGATTTTTAGCATAAGCTGCTTGCTTTGCGTTCTTTCGTTTGTTAACGTTTTGCAAAAAGGTACAATGTAAAATTTACAAACATTTGTTATTAACTCAGTACAGTTTTATCTTTTTAGATTTTAGTAGGAATCTTGTAAATTATGGGTCTTTTTGCGTGCACTGATTTTAGTGTATTTTTTAAAGACAATATTGATTTGATAAACATTTGCGTGTGGGACCTACAAAATTAGTTGCACCATCTTTTTATTCTACTGCTCCTGTGCTTTCAGAAAAGTATATGGTTTCGAGGGGTCTTTTACAAATTCTAAAAGCTGCAGTTGAAAAATTGCAAACATAGTCTGGCCAGCTGAGGTCAAACGTTTTTGGCGGGCATGAAATTGTGGATGGGAAGGGGGTTTAACACCGCGGATGTCAACTGGTTAATACCCAATTCTTTTGGTAAAATATTAACAACGGGGTTGTGCCTGGGTAAATAGATGCTAAACATGTCAAAGCGGCAAGTGACATGGCAAAAAAACGACAGTACCCAACCTTGCCCATAAGTCTTTTATTCCACACATTCTCTTCTTTCAGGAAATATATGTTTTGGGGGTTTTGAGTAATTTTCAGGCCATGAAATGCATGTTAAGCATGTGCATAAAAGGGGGGTTAGAAATGCCCTGGCCGCTAAAGGGTTATAACAAATACCTCCCCCCCCATGTTAACCGGTTCCATTTCAATGTTTTGCATGATGGGTCTTCTGAAGACACAAAGCAAATGTCTTTACAGGGTACAGACATATGTCGTTTAACTTAACAACTTTTGCATGCCTAAAAATGATGCCATAAAGAATATACACTGTTTGCAATAAAAACAGAGCAGTTATTTACAAGAAGACTGGCAAAAATTGTCTATTTTTTTAAATAAAAGAGCAGCTAATTCTAAAAGTTATACAGTTGCACCAATATTGTTTGACATAAAGAAATAGTCATTGTGTAGTTTAAGGATGGGATTACAGACGCCTGGTCATGATAAAATAATGAACAAAGTTAGAGTAACTGATAAAGCAAAGTGTAATGTGATTCTTGGAATTATTAATGCAAGATCTTCTCTTTCGTGTTCTACTTATGTGCTCCAATTACCCTAACAAGCAGCTCTGTGTATCACCGCAAAAAGCGATCTATGCGCAATAAATCTACAAAATCTCAGCAGTGGATCATAGTCACAGGAGGATATGCGTGTGGGGAGGACTGTTGGGGAAATAAGTATTGGTGGACACTGAATTTTCTTGTGAAGCACTGGGAAAGATTTTTAACTTGACACTGCATCTTCTTGTGAAACATAAGAACACAACATTTGATTTAATTTTTTTTCACTGCCACTTTGCTATTTGGGGTGGATTTACTCGCCAAGACATATTTTTTTTATTTTTTAAAAAGGGTTTTTTTGTCACTGTAGGTGGATAGAACTATCTGTCATAGAAGTTGGAATGATATCAGGTTGTATTTGTGCTGTGATTTTGTAGATGTATTGATCCTCATAATTGGCACCATTCAAGTCTAAATACCAGTTAGATTTACTTATTCTTATTTTACCACAAAAGTAAAAGTGGTTTGCTATTCTCTTTCCTAATTCCAATTTTCACATTGCTTGGTCTCTCACCAGGCTTTCTGTGATTAAGGGCCAGTTTGCATTCACCAGATATTTATTTAAAAAAAAACCTTACTCTGGGCAGTTCTTAACACTTTTAAGTTTGTCAGCTCCCCCAACAAATGAATTGATCGCTTTTCAAAGGGATTATATAACGGTATTCCAGCTAAGATGGTTTATGCCCTGAAGTTGCTCTACTTGCCGGTGTTGCTAGCTCCATGGCATATAATGCAGGAGCATTATGTGTTGGAGAGAAGAGGACTGGGCTAATGATTGCTGCATAATTGTTGAGTAATGTAAGTATTGCTCTGCTTGAAGCATTCCTTTTATAGGCCATTGAGGAATTCTGCAAAAATCTGGTATATGCTGCTGCCTATAGGAGGTTTGGGCAGTAGCAAACACAAAAGAAAAAAAAGCTGAAGGCCGGCCTCCATATAACCCCACTGCTATCAGTCATGCCTTTTTTTTTTTTTTTTGCTAGTGTCATTGGGAGCTTGAATGCTTTTTCCTCCGCTCTGAAGAAATTTTTTTTTTTTTTTTTTTTCTTTTTTTTTTCTTTAGTGTATTTCTACTTTTGTGGTAAAATTAGAGAATACCCCTCAATGTTTGTGATAGGGCTAGCCTGGAACTTGGCCTTCGGGCTCGAGGCTCAACATTGTGGAACTTTACACACCTGAGTGTACTGTTAGCAAGCCCCAGGTTTGACTCCATCACTGAATACTTGCTTTGGGAGTACGCCAAACGGGCCAAGCATCGGGCGCTATCTTGTTACTACAACAGCTGGGTGTCAGTTAAAGTTTCCACTTTCAGTCAGTTTACTGCAGAAAGGGAGAACATTGAGGGATTGAGTACTGACCTCATACGTTGGGTGGAGTGTCACACATGCTCTGTTTTTTCCTGCCATTCATCATTGAAACACCTTCCTGCTACTCCTAATGACCGCAGGGTCACCTTCAGCCATCTGATTCTCTCCTGCTACCAGCAGTGGGATCATGCCAATTTGAGAACTAGCCTTGTACCCTAAGCTATGTTGCCCCTGCTTGCGGTGCAACATGTGACAAATAGGGAACAATTTTGCTGTTCTGGTTGCCTCCAGCTCACAATCCACTGACCTTGTGCTGCCTGCAGTGTACCCTCTAAGGTGCCTGACACTGACAGCCTGCAATTATGCCCCGTGCTTAAGTCTTTGGTGTCTTCGATGGCTCTGTGAGGCGTGACTATCTCCTCTGCATCTCAGAATTGCACTGCAGTAATGCTGGATTTTATGGGCCAAATGGCACATCTGATTGCTGACTCTGGCTGCAAGGGCGTAAAGCATGCTTTCACACCTTACCCCGCAGAATCCTTAGCTGGTCTTGTTCTGTGTCTCTTAAGTCTTTAAAGGATGACCCTACACCTAAGAAGTCTCAGGCCTCTGCCATTACTCCCAAACTTAAGAGACCACATAAATTCGTATTGACACGGTATGCGGCACCCTAACACTTGAGAATCAGTACTAGTGCAGTCGCCGTCTAGGCTCCTTTCGGGTCTCCCAAGACCACCAAGACTTTTCCAGTGCAACTACTGTTCGCAGTTAATCTTTATGGAGCCTGGACGAACCCTGACAAGCTGATTGCCTCTCCCAATGTCTATAAGCCTTTTACCAGTTTAGGGAATAAAAAAAAAAAAGTGTGCCCCTTCTGTGGACCCCGTGGTATTCCATTTTAACAATCAAGTATGTCACTGGGGCAAAAATACTCATCTGCCCCAATAGCAGAAGCCTGGGAAAGCTCACTCTAAAGAAGCCAAGAAGAGCTCCTTTTGATACTCCCAGGCCTCAACTTACAAAGCTAAGTATAAATCAAGCTCCCAGCCCGCTGTCGGAGATGGCTGGCTATCCAGCACTACGTTCAGGAGTTAAAATGTTAGGAGTGTGCTGCAGAGGCAAATGTAAACATTATGCGGCCACATAGTGTTTATATCTTTTATATGCATTTATATTCATATTTCTCTATATTTATCTCCTATATTTTCATTCCCATTCTTGAATTAAGGCCTTTTGTATAGGATGTCTTCCATGTGGCTCCCCCAGTGACTCTGTGAGGTATGAATTTAGTTCTCTCAGCACCCCCAAGGTAGCTATTTGAATCCATCAGGGACATTCCCCATTCCACTCTCATTCACTAGTGTTTTTGGTTGTCGTCACATCTGTTAGAGTGAGTGTTCTAAGTGGCAGTGTTTTGTTTCTGTTGCCCACCCTCAGTTGGACTGCTTTTGGATGTCGAGTCTCTGAATTCCTATGTCATCCCTCAGTGGATTGGAAAGAAATAAGATGTTGGAATTATTTGAGGATTATTACACACGGTCCCACACCTCTGTGTCTATCAGTATGCAGTTACTGTTTTGCCAAAAAAAACTGAGGCATGCTGAGAGTGGGAGGAGTTATACTGGGCTGGCCCCCCAATTTTTTAATGTTTGCCGGTGCTCAATCCTCTCGTAAGTGGCAGTATAACCCGACAGCTTCTGTGTACCTCAATGTACTCCAAGGAATAGCTTTTATGGCAAGTACAGAAATCTTATACCCCCCCCTTCCCCACCATCTTACTTTGGTCACCCTTATCAATTTTAGGCCTGGGTAGTGACACAAATTTGCCAACTTTGGTGGCAAGTTAATCACCTTACCCCTTTTTTAATCCATTTATACCTGTGTTTTTTAGGATGCAGTATCAAGTGACTTCATAACCCAAGTGCTACGCTGGTTTTAAGAACACATCAAGATCTCTTATGTCAGGGTTAGACATCAGGGAGCACCATCATTGGTCTTCCTATCCTACCAAAGGCATGTAACATGCCCAAACACATCTTGCATCTCAGTTTTAACACTAGCAGTAACTTGTCCCCCCTGACCTTTGACCCCTTTGAAGCCACAGTCGCAGGCTGTAAAGGGGAAAAGAGCCAATGACTAAGATAAAAAACTGTATTACTTGAATAGGAAAAAAAAACAGATACCAAAGTGCTACAGTAAGTGCTACAATGCCTACTTCTTTCCCGCATGTTCAGCCTACAATGTCCACAGTAGTGGCTATGTCTCAACATATCTATTAATTTTCACTAAAGTATCAAAGATTGTATTTACATATACCTTTTTTTTTTCCAGTTGTCCATATTTGGCTGTGAAGATTACGCCTGCGATTCCTGTAATAGGTGGAATTCTTGTATTTTTTGTAATGGGGACTTTATTGAGGACCAGCTTTAGTGACCCAGGCGTTCTTCCTCGTGCCACTCCAGATGAGGCTGCAGATTTGGAAAGACAAATAGGTAAATGGTGTTGCATAAAAGAAAAAATACAGATAATGTTTTTATTTAAAGGAAACCTGTACTGAATTGAAACCCATATGTTGCCTTTGTATGCTTGTCATGATGATCTAGTAGAGTCGGTAGTTTTTACAGACCTAGAACAAGTATGCATTTCAGAACTTTTGGCTTCACTCTTGCTTTTCTTCATAGTTGTTCCTAACTTATGACTGAAGTATTAGAGCCAGAAACCACCAAAGAACTAGTATTCTCACAAGGAAAGGTCAGCAAATGGCAGCCCCATATTTCTGCCACTACAGGTTTTCTTTAGGTGCAATTTTTTTTTTTAAACGGACCTTGCATCAGAATACAAGGTCTGCTCATTAGTTCTCCAGCCTGCAAAAAAAGAACTGTATTATACACATCTAAGAACATCTTAAAACAAAAATGGTGGGAGGTTAATGGCAAGACTTTGCATTTTCATGCACTATTTGCTTTAATATTCCAAAAAAGTTACACCCAGCTGCCATTTTTAGTGTTATGTTATTTAGACATTTAGTCCAAGGTTTTAAAATTTATGAATAATTGGATCTCTGACACTACTTAAATTGTGTTCCTAATTTGGCATACCAATGGCTATTATGTTATCTTCATAGATGTTGCAAATGGGTCAACTTCAGGCGGTTATCGACCTCCTCCCCGAACAAAAGAAATAGTCATCAATGGACAAACAGTAAAACTGAAATATTGTTTTACCTGCAAAATTTTCCGCCCGCCTCGTGCCTCACACTGCAGCCTGTGTGATAACTGTGTTGGTAAGTTTCACTGTTCTAATGTCTAAAGGTAAAAATGGATGTGTTCGCTGTACCAATGTTGCTTTGCTCCTTTTTTAAAAGAGGCTTACTAGAATAATAGAAAATGTTAACCGTTCCTGGACACAGAAGAAATCCCTTTTGCTTTACCCATCTAAATAATCCACTGACTCTGCCAAGGTAATGGGAAATTGGTGTAATTAGCCTCCCTGCTGGCCAAGAGCTGCAAAACCCCCACATGGTAATGACCAGGTCTCTCTGTATTTATGTAGAATTTCAGGAAACCTGTTTTTGCTTAGGTAGCTCAGGGGGCATCCCTGAAGACTAGCATGTATCTGTGTAGACATGTGTTGGCACATCGTGGTGTTTTCAGTGCAAATGTTTTTTTTGTTGAAGAAATCGTCTGCAAGGTGCTGATATAGCTCACCTTAAAAGATCAGAGTGGAGAATCAAATTAAGTAAACAGAGCTAAGTGATTACAGCACTAGATATAAAATATCAGTAAAGGTGCAAACATAATTGGTTCATACATATTGTGGCACATGCATGCAGCAATTGTGATGGCAGCAGCTTAACAATGCTCTGCACAAGGTGAAGAGACTTGCTGGCTTTATAAGTAAACTTACACCCAAAAAAACTATTACTATACACCAATGGGGTTTGGAACAGATACTAAACCCATCCAGCACAAAGTCAAAGGGCAAAACAGGCTGGAGAACTATCAAGGAAGCCCTGGTGTGGTCTTCAACCAAGATGGTCACCGTACACTCACAGGATCCTTCGCCCTCCCAGGAGCACATGCTGAACACACAACCCATTGATCTTCCCTTCATCAAATCTCTGTTCTATTCTCGGTCCCTTTAGATCAATGTTTGTTCCTAAACAAATGTAAAGGATTGCTGCAGATAGCCTGGACCGCATGTCCAAGAACATCACCACACAGATGTCCAAGAAATATATTGGGCCACAGAACGTCCAAACTGGAGTCCTGCTTAATTGACACCACCACCAGTTTTCGAGAGCCACCAGGTGGAAATGGAAGTGGAAATCCAACATGTGTCCCCAAGAGCCAAGGTGGAGGGACATGGAATATAGGGCCCATAGGTCTAACCTGCGGGTCTGATCCCTCTCTAAAATCATCTATTTGCATTCTACGGTCACTTCTCTTTTACAGGAGCTCCCCCTGACCTACCCATCGAGTGTCTAGAAATGGGCTGCGTCCATAGGGCTCTAGCTAAGTACCCTATCAACGGCCCACTACACGATATCATTGTGAGAATGCATTATTATTACCGCTCCAAGGAGTGCCTGTTGCAAGCTGCATATGAAGCTTCCTTTCCTTTTCAAACCCACAGATTTCAGCTTTTTTCTGATCGGGCGCCTTCCACTATTCTCAAATGCCGTGGGCTACAACCCCACTTGCAAATCCTTATTGGCCATTGCCTTAACTAGAAATTAGGCTTTCCTTTTTAAGCTTTCATTTGCCTTTTGTGGCCACGACTATTCTTTCTACTTATGACAGAGCCTCGTTCTGCCTTCAAATCCTGGCCCTCTCTGAGCCAGATGCCAAACACTCCTGACAACCCTGGAGATTCTCCAGCTTCACCCCCTTCTCCTAAGGCTCTTTGTTGATTGCAGACCAGGTCCTCCTCGCAAACACCCACTACCGGATAATCATATTTCCAATAAGGACACTTGAAGATGAGTATTACCATTATACATCTATCTTCTCCTTTACGCTCATCGTGCCCCGTTAGTCACTTGTGCAGTACCAATCATCATGTTCTTATTTTATGCACCATTGTGATGGTTAATTTTTGGTTTGGTTGTGCACTACTTTGCATCTTTGTAATGCTGTCACCTTGTTACTCCTGTGCCCCTTACACACTGTGGAGTGTATAGCTTCCCCAACTCCAATTCTATTAACTGCGATTGCTGTGTCCACTCTATAGAGTAAATTACATTTCCTGCTCACATCTTATTGCCTGCCAACCTGGACTTTTACATTGGAGCTTTATTATTTTGCAGCCTACTGTCCACTAATATCCATCGTTTGTCATGAATCACCTAACACGTTCTGTTACCATGTATAACAAGCCTCTGTTAACTGCTGAGGCTCATCTTGCTACAGGAAACAGTCTTGTTGTGCATTGTAGGCTGCTCTGATGCCCTGTTGTAAAGGGATGACTCCCAGGTCCACAGGCTCTTCCTATATCATGTGTTTGATTGGCTGGGTATATTCTCTCCCCAATAAGCCTGTCGGCCTACAATCAGCTCTTGGTGTTTCAGCCACACATTAGAGCCAATATATTTATACACTGTTACTGAATATGTAAGGGATGTAGAATACAAGACACATACTCATTTATGGCTTGATACCATGACTTTTGGAACAGGACTTTTGTTCCCCTATATATTCAAATAGTGTTGCACATAGATATGTTAATTAGAATATACTTGCCCTGTCAAAGGGGCCTATCCCATCTCTTATGCCTCAGACTTTAGTTCCTTTCTCCGTTTATGTGAACTGGACATTTCTCCTCTAACTTTGCACCTAAACTCCCCATTAACTGTAGTTGCATTTCCTCGGCAACGTTCATTACTGATGATAAACTTAGCAAAAATATACCTAAGACCTTCCTTCACTCATTACAGCAGAACAGGTGGCACTTGTTACAGGTTGACAGAAAGGTGAACAGTATTTAAAGGGTCATGCACCTAATACATATTTTTAAATCCAGATAGATGGCTTCCTTGTTCCTCTCTTTAGACGCAAGACAAAGTAAGACTTTGATGCCCTGTCCTGGAACTACCTTTTTTATATTTTACCTAAATAGGGCGTCCAAGACCATTTCCTCTTTTGGATTCATGCTCTTTATCACACGCTGCAAGCCTTCATTAATTATGCATGCTTTAGTGTAACCATTACTACTTCGTTCTCTCATCCACCAATTACACCTAAGTAACTCAAGCAGATTTAGATAGATTCCAACTATTTCCTCTATTTGGACTGTTTTACGGTTTTGGATCCAGGCATCCTATATACATTTTCTAAAGATGTGGGGTGATAAAACTCCTATCTCCTCACCTGCCCCTCCCCATGCTATGGGGCATCTCTGCTTTTTACCCAAGTTTTAACTCGCCAAAACTTTACTGATGGTGGTACTCCGCTATCTTTCGCTGCAAATATAATTTAATATCTCTCCAAGGAGTCAGATCTTTCAAAGCCCTAAAGGCATCACATAAAATATCACCGTCGATATCTGCAATGGAAAATGTTATGTCCCTCCTGTGGCACACTGACTCTCCACTCAGATTGCCCTGTATGAATGACCCCCATACTCTAGGTATAATTGCGTCATTATACCTTTCTATTATTTCTACTAACTTCTGAACCTCTCCCATATATCTGATAAAGAATCTGGTAAAACATTACCAACAGGAACTGGAAATACATCTGGTTGGCCACTTCTAAATACTCAGTCATTATCTCCACCTCGGAGACGTACTAATAACTGATGCACTGGTACCTGGTAGACTTGTAAAGCCTGAATGTTCAAAGGATATTCCCTTGCTCAGGCAGTGGTACATACTATTACATCTGGTGGACGTGCCATGTACCCTGTTATTTCCACCTTTTTATTAGGTCATCGCCTCAAAATGTTCTTCTGCAGAGCTCTTTTAAATGAACAATTACCCAGTGGCACTAAAACTAAAACCTGCTTGTTAACTCAGGTCTTTACAGCTGTGAAACAGACCATTGCCAAAGCCTGGAAAACATCTAACCACTCAGTAGGTGAATTCAAATCATGCATGCACCAATCTACATTATTCACAAAACCGACTGCCATTTAATGCAATAAACTGCCTAAATTTCTTAACACATAGAATTCCTAAGTCATGATCTACCAACCTGCAACCTTTTGACTTTCTATAATGCTTGAATCTCAGCTGTTTTGAACCCTATATTTCTGCATCCTACCCCACTTATCCTGTACTCCCCCCTCCTTTTCCCTCCTTCTTACCTTCTCAGCTCTCTTCTTCTACCCCCTCCAAACCCACCCCTCCCTTTATCCCCCATCTCCCATCAACTCTGCTTACTTTGTCCATGTGTACCCCCAGTAACCAATTTTCAGTCCCCCCATCCTGAGCTCCTCCCTGACGTTGCAGTAACTTGATGAGTCCTATACCTCCCAAGGTTGTGGAAATCCAATTTGGGGCTTCAAACATCAATCTGTTTTCTTTTCCCATGGCACGTTGTCAATGCCAATTGTTTATATATGTTTACCTTATGTGAATCTTCAATTAACCAATGTACTACACTCAAACAACATATGTTATGCTAATACATATACAATACAGTGCATGTACTGTTTTTTGCATCTGTATCTCGCTCAAACACTTCTGTAAAAAATGAATAACTGCATAATTGCATTACTTCTTAAATCGCTGTATGTAAAAAAAATTATTTTGCTTGTGAGCAGTTATGTAGCCAGAAAACATTTCAGCGAAAGATATATCTCTCACCTAGGACTTCAAAAAGTAATTTTAAAAAATTACTTTTATTTTATCAAAAAAGCCGCAGTGAAGCATAAAATCTAAAAAATGATGACATTTCAAGTCGGATACTAGCTTTGTTTGTGCCAAACACGTACAAAGGCTAAACACCCACCATAAGCAATCACAAACTGCCACATCAATATATTATGAACCAAGCAAGTAAGAGGCAACTGTGATCAGTGAAAATAAACACAGGTATAGCCTACATTCAAACAAAACCAAATGAATGCAAGAAAGTCCAGCCTCCCAAAAAAGGAAGCGTTAGATCTGATTGGGAACTTCCTACAAAATGTAAATATCGCTCCATCCATTTGAATAGCATCATAACCATAACCCAACCAACTCAACTCGTCATTCCCTGGTGATCTAGTGGTGATCATTAGTAAGGTCTGCACTAGACCTTACTAATGATCCATCATTCGGCCGGAGCTCAGAACTGACAGAGCTCTGGCCGGAGCTGACAGGAGCAGCTCTGCGGTCTGCATCCGTCAGAGATGCAGACCGTGTAGCTGCTCCCGCAAGTCGGACACGCGGTCCGTGACCGTGTGCCCGACTTGTCAGCTGGCTGTGGGCCACTTAGTACAGGCTCGCGGGCCGGTACTTTGAGACCGCTGCTTTAAGCTACCGTTGCACTTAAGTACACTTGATGATTTTATTATTTCTTTCCTTTTTTTAATTGAAAAAACATATTTGCTTTTCCCTTCAAAAGTGTTCTGGTTTTTCTAAAATATAGTTGAAGGCCCAGTGGGGTTGCTTATTGTTGCTACAAATTTTATGTGTTTGCTTCTGAATATGCTATAAAAAAACAAAACTATCTGTAAGCTTGTGCAGTCTACATCTCCTGCTGGTGTTTTGTTGGCAGGAAGTATATGTGATTTGGTGCATGGCATGCGCTTTGAATGCCTTACATATCTAGAAATGCAGTATTGATTTCTTTGTTTTACTGTGGTATGGTAGAGGTTCTGGTTCTTCCAGCTGGGATTTCCCGATTACAGCAAGTACTTGAAATCCATTTTCTATTTCAGCAAGAAATAAAATAATTTGAACATGGTCCTGAGGGGCCATTCATGATTAACGCACACTGCAGGAAACCGTGAGGTTAAAGCAAGGCATTGGTGTGAACGGGTCTTTAATGTTGCATAGAATAGCAGCTCATGTGTACTGTAGTATGTGAGCAATATGCTGTAAAGCCAGCCTAGGCTACTTGATGATGCACCCCCTGGTCCATGACCGCTTTGGCTCTCAGGAAATGTCATGAATGATGCGGAGTGTTCCACCTGGAAGAGGACAAGCGGTGGAAGCAGAAACTTTTTTCTTTTTTGGTGCAAAAGGGCTGCCTGGAGTTGGGCTTTAATATGAAAACATGTGTAGCATGGTTTAGAACTATCTATATTAAGCACATGAAATATAGGCGACAAAGCTGTGTGGATTCTGACAATCCCAGCTGCAGCACGGCTCTTTGTGGTCAGCATGTAGCGGGTAGCACTCCTGTGACCCAAAAGAAAAGTAAAGCCAAAAAACTTTTTCGTTTTACTTCTCTTTAAATGGGTTTTGGTTTGAAGTAAAAGCTCTGGTTGCGAAAAAAAAAAGCCTTTTGTGACTCATGTTCATAAGGTGACGAGGGTCAATCTTACAAGGGTAATTTTGAGTGACTGTTAAACGACTCATCTACAATTTAAATAAGTAGAAGAGAGAATATTTAGAGAATAAACACACTTTCAGACAGTACTCATTTCCTTTTTGCATTTATTCTTTTAACCACTTTAGGACTGCAATATGTATTTAAACCGTACAGTCTGACCCCTGATATGGGCAGCAGCTGTGATCTCGATCGTTTTTTCAACTGTTGGCTTCCACATACAGTGAGAGCCATACAATCACTTGTATGCTGCAAAAAAATGTGCCAATTCCCTCACCCCCCTTTCGCCACTGCCGCCGACTATCCTGGGCTCTCCTGTCCCCCATGCAAGCCTGGGACTTTCATAGTTGATGTGTGCAACTTATCTGGAGGGAGATCCGCACACTTCCAGTGGTTGATTTTCCCCTCTGCCTACTGAGCCCAGAGAAGAAGCTGGTGAAACACAACGGGTGCTTCATCATCTTCTGTGGGGTCCATAGATTACATTACGGGTCTAATAGACCCCTGATGTCTCCATAAAGAAGAACTGTCACTGCTTCTGTGCTATCACATAAGTGATGGCGATAAAGTTAGGTGTAAAAAAGAAATGTTTTAAAAATTCAAGTCTCATATAAAAAAAAACCCCACTAAAAAGTCCTCCCCCGCCACTTACATGCTCATTCAAATGCAAACATGTGTCGGGTGTGTCTACATATGAGAACAATTGCATCACGTTACATCTTGCTGCAAACTTGACTGAGACAATAACTTTAGCACCATTTCTCACTGTAAATGTAAGCTGTTGAGTGGGGAAGGCTTTTAAAGTGTCGCCTGTAGGCAATTTTGGGTACTGTAGTTTTTTTGCCATTTCACTGACGTGTTTGCCATCTATTTACCTGACACAACCCCATCGTTTATATTTTTGCCAAAGAACTGGGTATTAAATATGGTTTGTGTGCACTAAAATACATTTTCCTAAAAAATATTGATTTGATAAACATTTGTGCAACTATTGTGTGACCTAAAAATTGCAACTAGCAGTTTTTTTTTTATTATTATTCGACAAGCTTTTTTTATTCTATTTGGCTTCAGAAAATATATAATTGGGAGTTTTTTAAGCAGTTTTCTAGCCAAAAATCTATATTTTAACATGTGTGCATAAATTAAAAGGTTGCTCAGGTCGAAATGTGGTTAAAGAGCTCCAGACAGCCAAGAAAGTAGTATACAGTATATTTTCATGACCATGGTGTACATTTGTGCATTTATATCGCATTGAATTTTGGCATCATTTCTTTTGCAGCTCATATACTTGCAGTCTTGCCCAGTGGAGTCACAACACAAGAGCGCAACAATTTGCCTTCTGTCCTGTTGCTGTGCACTGAAAATAGGAGCGTTTTGAATTTTTGCAATGCACAGTCCAACATGCTGTAACTATTTGATCGCACATTGGAGATGACAGGTTCTCTATTAGACCCCAACTGTCACCCTTCCACTTCAATAGCTTTAGCTGAGAAATGACAGCTGCCTGCTGAGGCAGCTGAATGTAAACACAGCAGGCAGTGGCTGGGAGCTATAACCTGCCTGTTTTTGGCAATTTCACATTATAATAGCCAATAGCAGGCTGGCTATTTCACCCTCCCCCTGCCTATCAGTCGGCAGATAAGGGAACCTGAAGAAGAACGTTCTCCTTCAGGTCCGCTTCTCTACTGATGAGCGGGGGCACAGCACGGAGGGGCAGAGCTCAATGGGGCACGGAGGGGCATAAAACAGCGCAGTTACGGAGGGGCAGAGAACAGCTAGGCACAGCCATGGCATGGAGGACCACAATTCGGCGGGGGGTGGGGAATGCCGAGTTACAGCGGTCTATCCTCCCCGCTTGGCGCCAGCTGCAGTGGTCTGTATCCCGTCCGATCTCTGCTGATACAGCGTCTCCCAACTGGGAAAAGAACAGGGTATTAGAGTTGATGCAGAGGAGGTGGCAGCAGGTGACAGTGAACGGGCTAACAAAAGCCCAGGTGCCAGGATGCAATTTCTAGGCGCCTGGGATTTGTCAAGCCCTGCAGTAACTAAAGTTAGTGTCTCATATTTTTCTAAGCCAAGCACATAAGCCATGTATGCTTGAAATAGTTTGTGGGCTATTTGGTCCGATTTGGCATATGAGTTCTAAATCTATTTTTGCAACCCTGTTCATATATACAGTACATAATATATTTAAGCTAAAAAAAAAAAAAATTTCCTTTTTAAAGCTAGCTTACAAATTTGTGAATTGGACCCAAGACTTTTGTCAGGACTAGTTTCTAGTTATAAACTTGTCAAATGTGCTCGGTTCTTAAGAAGACTCTGTGAACCTGCTCATAGCCATAAGATGCCAGTCGAAAGATCTGATGATATAAACTCATTCTGTTGACTTATTAGTTAATCAAATATTTTTCTGCTGATCATGCGTAAGTGTGCTCTTAGATGCTGCCTTGTTTCATACAAACAGTGATTGTGATTCTTTCTTTCCCTGAAATCTGTGGGCCAGGAAGTGCCTATTGATTGGCTGTAGACATATGATGGTATCCTGATCTAGCCATAAATAGACCTTGTCCAGCAATGTCCATTGACTTTCGTCCCCCTCCCCCCTTTTTTTTTTTTCTTAACTGCGAATGCAATGTTCATTTCTGATTTTGTGTTTTTTGGAGTCTACCTCAGCTTAAACCATACTAAAGAGGTATGGCATGAGAGATAGAGTAATAAGAAGCTTACAACAACCGCTATGCAGTTGGGCTACATTCACACCTATATCTTGTAGGTGCGAATAGGGATTCCTGCGTCAGGAACTTGCAATTACCTGCAGCAGGAATCACTAATTTGCAGTTAATGTGTATATGATATACATAAGGTTGGGAATCAATCACTCTCCCTGTACGCATCGATTGCGTGTACAGGGAGAGTGATAGATTCCTAACCGGTGTGCCGGCATTCAAATGCAGCCGCTGACACCAGATCATTAACTTGAATGGGTGACAGCTGCTGCCTGTAAATGGCAGATTAGAGATTCCTGCTGCAGAAAATCGCAAGTTCCTGACACAGAAATCCCTAATCGCACTTGAAGATATATAGGTGTGAATGGGGCCTGTTATATACGATAAACAATTTAAGATGCTTTAGTATATTTATCTTTATGGAGATGTGCGTGTGATGGAAAACTTGTTTTTATTATCCAACCTTATGCAGTCCTGAATAAATTGCTATCAAGCTTTTGTAGATTGAAACCCTTAAGTACATCCTTGGGCAGTTTGGCTATGATGTGGTCATGTTTTTTTTTTTCTTTCTACTTTTAGGGTTATGCTGCTCTGGATTTTTTTTTACTTTTTCCACATCCTATACCAAATGCCTATTAGGAATAGCAATAGTCATTACCACACTGGCATTCATGCATGTTTATTCATATATGCAACAAAAAAAAAATGAATTCTCTGCCATTATATATTTTTTGTTTTGCTTCTCATTTCAGAGCGCTTTGATCACCACTGTCCTTGGGTGGGAAACTGCGTGGGGAAAAGAAACTACAGATTTTTTTACATGTTCATTTTATCCCTGTCCTTTCTGACAGTGTTTATATTTGCATTCGTAATAACACACGTCATTCTTCGTAAGTATGTTCAGGCGATCCATGTTTGTTTTGTGCTTTCTGTCATTGGCCTTGTACTAGATTGATCCCAGTGGGCTGTGGTTATTGGCATGTGAATTTAGCCTTTATTAAACATATACTTTAAAGAAACATTTCTTATTAAAAAAAAAAAACACATTAAAAATTCTTCCATTTTTCACTTCATTTAGGTTTTTGTTATCTAGACAGTACATTTGCAACATTTTCCAAATGAATGTGAAGCCTCTGGCATTGAAATTGGATATGGTGTCTTTTTTTTTCTTTCTTTTAGTGTTTTGAACTGTTTTATACATTTATAGTCTTCCTGCTCAAAGCAGTGTTATTGCTCTTGATTTGTTATGTTTTGTTCTCAGCAAGCGGTATGCTCTGTGCATTTATTATGCTGTTCAACGTTCTTTGATCTTCCTGTGTATTACCGTACTTGCACAAAAATGTTATCAGTTTTCAAAGAATCCTACTGATGCCATTTACTATATAGAGAGATAATGTGCTAGAAATCAAGGAAAGTACTTGGGGGTCGCACTCCAGGCAAGCCAAGACACCCTTCACTGTTTAAGAATCTGAAACAGTTTTTGTTAAATACTGTCCCCAATTGCCTTTAACCCCTTGCGCTTATGCTCCTTTCATGTCACCCTTTGCATCTCCATCTCACTTTTGGCAGACACTAGGCAGTCGCAGTTCTTTAGGTGGATCATGCCTGGTTTTTTTTTTTTGTGCTTCCTGCCCTAACAACAAATGGCACACCAAGTGTTGCCATCTGAAGCAAGGAGGGACCATGTTCTGCCGTTTTCAGGATGGATTCGCACCATCAGGTGCTGCTCACCTGTTCTGGGAGTACATCTGACACTGTGCTACAAACTTTGAGAAGACTATGGAAGAGCATTGAGCAAGTAATCTAAAGTGTATGAGCATTCCTAGTTAATTTTTACTAGGTTATCTACTATTTCAACATTTTTATTATTGTATTAAAGCACTAAAAAAAAAAACAATCATAATAACACAGTGAAATACATTTAATACGGTCCTGTTTGTCCCCTCACAGATTGTCAGCACTCACCATCCAAACAATTCCATAGGGCTCCATAGGAATTCCTTACTCCTGACAGTGTGACAATAAGAATTGGAGCCTTTTCCTGTCATTTCCAGTATCTTTTATTGCTCGTCTCTGTAGTCTCTCAATCTACAGAGGTGATGTCATGATGATATCCAGGCTGCTGCTGGGTATCCTTTTGCTTGTATTTTCACTCAGTATTGCCCACCAGCCAACCCATTACCAGTTTTTGAGGCAGCGGCACTGTCACCTGTAGTGGAAAGAGAGCCTGCACTTTTTCCAGCTTAATGTGCTACATGAGAATGATGACAAGGAAGTTTTCTGCTTCCCTGTCACTGTCCACACAGCTGCCCTGTCTTTCTGGCAGCAGACACAAAGTAAAATTTGTTCAGCATTACCAACACCAACACCCATGCCTCTCCTTCTGCATCTAGATGAGGGCAATTTTTCTCCTTCCCTGTCATTGTTTGTTTGTGTCTCGCTCAGCTCAATGAGCCGTTACCAGCCATTACATCAGACTGATGAAATGGGAATTCTCTGCTCCCTGTTAGTGCCCACACACCTGCCCACCTCTTCCTAGACTGCCATATGCCTGGTTGTGTAGTTCTGCAGGGTCTACCATGTAAAAAGCATATGATGCAAAATACACTGCGGGTCCCATTTCTCCTCTCGCAGGCATATGATAATGTCACAGGGGATTAAAACATTTCTCAAGAGGAGCTGTGTGCACCTAAAATTCTTCGTGGTAGATGCTGCAGGGGTGGTGAGGGAGGCTTGGAAATCAGCTTTAAAATAAGATTACAAATTGGGATTAGTAGCAAAATGAAGTTAAGCAACTCTGAATGCAGTGGGCATACTTGCTATAAGCCTCTTAAAGAAGAAGGTACAGGTCTGTGAGAGCCAGAACTCTTGCTTGTTTGTAGGTGACCAAATACTTATTTTCCACCATAATTTGCAAATAAATTAGTTCCAAATCAGCCAATGTGATTTTGTCTGGATTTGTTTTCTCATTTTGTCTCTCCATAGTTGAGGTCTACCTCTGATGCCAATTACAGGCCTCTCATCTTTTTAAGTGGGAGAACTTGCACAATTGGTGGCTGACTAAATACTTTTTTGCCCCACTGTATATCTGTATGAGCCAGCAAGATTAATTTCGATTTAATTATAACGATTCCTATTGGCTATTTCACTTTGCAATAGCCTATAGCAAACTAGCTATTGCCTGGTGACATCGATGTCCGTGACGTCACCAGATCTCCGACGGAAGACCCAGAAGCCGGCGGAGAGGTGAGTACGGATCAAAAGAACTTTGATCGATCAAAATAGTTTTGATCGCTCAAAAAAATTAACAATTAGTCGAGGGATTAATCGTTAATTTCCGCAGCCCTAATTTACATGATTAAATGAAACGTTTTACTTTTTTTGTCGTAAGCCTAAAAAATAGAAACCTAGATTTACTTCGGGACGAATGCAACACTTTATTTTTTGTACAACAATGTTTTGATTTGCATTTTATTTATTTTTGTTTAAGGATCTCAACAAACGGGATTTCTCAATGCCTTAAAGGACAGTCCTGCAAGATATCCTTTATCACCCGGTTTGCTGTACAAAGTCATAAAATAGTGTCTATGGCCATGCACTTTATAGTTTGGTTTATTGATATACCTTGGTAATGTTGTGGGGGGAAATACATTTCTTGGTTTTAGACTCCAGTTGTGCCATGACCATGAACTGTGCAAAAGTAGCATGCGGAGGGGATTCTGTTTACTATGAGGATTGCAAATTGGCAATATTCAATATTTGAATTCAATATTTCTTTATTTGGCTCTGCTTAAAAAAAATGCACAAAGTCCACATCAAATGTACATCTAGAATTGGCAGAGGTTAAAAAAAAAAAAAATTAGCCTGTGAACTACCTTCTGAAATTTGAATGCTAAAAGGTTTAGTGCATACACTAAAAAGGTCAGTTTCCTTTATCTGTAAGTTTGTGTTTGTTTTTGTTTCAAAAGATCTATAACTATCGATTTAAATATTGTGCTAATTAAAGATTGTCGTTTTAAGATTGTATTCCTTGACTCTGGTTTTACTGTTTTGGAAGCGGTGGTTTGCTTCTTCTCAGTTTGGTCGATTGTTGGCCTGTCTGGTTTCCATACATACTTGATCAGCTCTAATCAAACTACTAATGAAGATGTAAGTCCATTTCCAATATAGCTTGGCAATAGGGAAGAGCAACAATTTCTGATATTTTGTGATATGCATATACAACAAATGTCTTATGTGCTATACAAAATGTGAGAAGGATGCTAGTTTTCTGGATGGTAGTTTTTGTTCTTAACTTGGCAAAAAAGTCAAAATGTAACATCTGTCCTTCATGTATTTGTGCTAATTTGTTCCTCTGTTATATAACAATTTGACAGATTTGCATCAACCTATATTATAAACCTGTGCTGTGAATAATTGCCAAATAACCAAACAAGGTTACATGTGTGACTTAAAGCCCATTTCCACCTTTGCAGCGGTATTTACAGAAATAAACATGCCAGCAATGTACACCGAGTGTACATGAAACAGGCATATGCAGCTGCTGTATGCGAACACACAAACTTCGTTTTTATTTGGGGGGGGGGCGGGGTGGTGTTATCTTTCCTCTTCATATCCCCATGTAAAAATGTCTGCCTGTGTTTTGCAAGCTCTTTCTCACCTCTCCCACTCATTAGTATTCAGAGTGGCAGCCCCCCTTCCCTCCCTAGACAGTGTATTGTCTGTAAAGGCAGAGCTGCTGTTTACCGATCATGTTACAATGATTAACAGGGAGGGGGAGAGCATTTTAAAGCCAAATTCCCATCCGACCCTGGTGTCTGACTTATTTTCCTGTGTAGAAAATTTAGAATTTTTAGGCTTCAGGCCTAATATAAGGTTCATTTAAAAAAAGGGAAGAGGGAAGCCTGCAATGTGAGTCATGAAAATTTGCACATTTTAGGCCCCGTTCACATTGCGCGATTCGCAAATCGCGCGATTTGCATTTTGCGCGATTTGTTGCGCGATATCGCGCAAATGCTTGCATTGAGCAAGCGAGAATCGCGGCAAAATCCGCTCCAAAAAGGGTCCTGCTGTAGCGACACACGACCTGCGACAGCAGGACCCTTTGCCCCATTGAGATGCATTGAAGAGCGATATCGCGTGGTAAATAGCCGCGATATCGCGGGAATTACCGCGCGATAAATCGCTCAATGTGAACGGGGCCTTATACTTCACCACTGCAGCTCTTCATTACCACAATCAATGCTAATCACTTACAAAGGTGGAAATTAACTTTAATGTGGTGTAAAAATCAGTTTGTTTATGGGGGGAAAAAACTTGCATATAGATGTTAATATTTAATTTTAAAAAAATTGATCCTGACTTGTCATTCTTCTATACTATGATCCAATTTTGTTTGTATAACATTCCCATAGTCCTTATCTTGCATTAGTTGCATATACCAATTTTGCTATGAACATATAGCTGGTACTGCTTCTTTTTTTTTACTGTGCAGGAGAATCATGAACCAGGTAGGGCATTTGGCAGACCAGTCTGTTATTGATCTGTTTTTTTAAGACAGATTTGAGTTAAAAATGAACAGTACCTTCTTAACCTGCTGCAATATTAATCCCCACATGTGTTGATGTCTTCCAGAGAACAAAAAGCACAATTTGTTATACAGTTTGATAGTTTTTACTTCTTAAGTGATCTCAAGTTAGTTTAGCCAATGATACAACATGCAATGCTTAAAAGATGGTGTATTAACAGAATCTAGCCTACCAGCCTTACAAATGCTGCTAGGCAACTGGTATTCCTGTTAACCATCACAGTATAAAAGAAAACTAAAGGCAAACTTTTTTTACTTTAATTTTTTTTTGGCTTGTCATTATTTGACTCAAATTAATACATTTACTAATGTACTCCAGTGACCCAAAGTCCACATCTAGCGGGCTATTGCCCACTATTTGCTGATAGCTCAGTGCTACGATGCAGCTGGGAAAGATCCTGACAATATTGTCGGAATCCACTCCGCTGCCTGATTAAAGGCTGGCTCTGCCTCTATACAGTTAGAGCCAGCTGTGCCCACCCCCTGCCCCGTCTGTCACTCCAATGAGCACTAGAGGAGGAGGGGGTGGGGGAATCCCTGCGGGGGGGCGGAGATGAACAGTCACTGCTCTCTGCAGGAAGAAGACTGTGAGCTGAGTGATCAGCGGTTCATGAATGCTCAGTTCTTGGTCAACAGAGCCTTCAGTGTCCCACTCTGACTCTTAAGTATTGGGAAGAGTATATTTTATTCTCCCAGTACTTCTCCTTCAACTTGTGGGAACATAGGATCAAGCATTAGTTCATTTTGGGCTAAACTCCACAATGTCCTTGATGGCCACATTAGGAATTGCCAAAAACAATTTAGCTGGATGTGTATGTATTGCCATTTGCAGAATTCAATCAATATTAATTTATCTGAAAATTATTTTCTAATCTATTGTTTTCTTTTCTGTAAAAATTGACGATTACTGGAAATATGGGGGCCACCATTGCTGAGCTCTTGTACGAATACAAGGTGTCTGGCTGTCACCAGTTTCAGTAATTTTTGAACAATGACCTGGAACAAGCATGCAGATTAATGGGACAGGTTGAAGCCAGAGTTTCTGATTTGCACACTTGTTCCAGGTCATTGCCTTGGAAATAATAGAAGTCGAGTAGCTTCACAGCCAGCCAACTAGCATTTTTAGAAGGAGAGGTCAACAAGCGCAACCTCCAGATTCTGAGTACAGGATTCCTTTAATAATTGAATTCTTACAAAGCAGATTGTATAAATCAATAAACATCAATCAAGCTGCCTAAATATAAGGAAGTAGCTTTCTTAATGCACACATCAATTCTCCTGTTAATGTTTGGAGTCCTCATGTTTGTACTTTGTTACAGATTAAAGGTTCCTGGTCAAGTAAAAGAGGAAAGGAAAACTATAATCCATATAGCAATGGCAATATTTTCACAAACTGCTGTACTGCGCTTTGTGGACCAATAAATCCAAGGTAAGAATTGGAATGGCTGGCTTTCTGTATTTGAATGATGGGACGTCAGAAAATTCAGCTTGTTGCAGTATTCGAAAAAGTTGATGTGCAGAGTTAGGCTGATCTTGCAGTGCACAGCTATATACCTCAGAGTATGTGTGCCTGGTCTAGTGCTATATTATGCAGGGGAAATTGGTTACCAGTCTCAAAATGTACATCAGCTGTGAGGATTTTGCCTCAATGCATAAAGAGTAATGGAAGTGTCTGGTGTAGTGGGGCTGGAGGGGAAGGATAGCCCAAAAAGAGCAGTAAAGACACATGACTGCCCTCCTCTGAAAAGTGATAAACAACCGTGGACCAGTTAGAAACTTTTGGTGATTGCACACGCACCTCATATCTGACCATAGCTGCTTATTATGTAACATACTGTACATTTAATTTCAGTTATTGGAGATTATGTGGTTGGTTAACATTCATTTAGTCAGCAATGCAGACTACATCAGACATGTCAAGAGCTATTATTGGTGTGGTGTATGTTCCTGATTGTGCAAATGTGCATTGAGCAGCGCAATTCTTATAAAGACTAAATATGTTTTAAATAGGAGGGCCAAGGCTCTGCTCAACTTAGAAGTGAGACAGATCATTCTGATTTTAAATGGCGGCAGATATCCTTAGGGCTTGTTTACCCCATGTTCGTTAAGCTGCGTTTTTCTGCACACAAACGTACGTATAGGGTGTGATAAGGGCACATAGAACAAAACTGTTTTCTGTGTGCCCTGTTCATACCATACGTGTGCAGTAGAGTACAGGAAAACACAGTTCAATGGACATGGTGTGAACAAGCCCATGTACACGAACAGAAGGTAAAAACATGCTTCTTGTAGTTTAAATTGCTTTTACTTGGGTTAGGGTTTCTTGACTTCGTAAGTGTTAACATTTCTACTTGCTTCTTTCTTTTGTAATGTTAGAAAGGGCTTTGAGGGGTGAGGGGCTTCTCCATTGTATGTTAATTAGTGAAACAATCCTCAAATTTCAGTCCTCAGTCTTTCAGAACAGATCACTGTAAAGCAGGGGTAGCAAACCGCCGGCCCTCCAGCTGTGGTGGAACTACAAATCCCAAGAGGCATTGCAAGATTCTCACAGCCACAGACATGACTCCCGAAGAGATGCATCATGGGATTTGTAGTTTCACCACAGCTGGAGGGCCGGAGGTTTGCTACCCCTGCTGTAAAGGTTCTGAGGAAAACCTTGAATCAGCCATGTTGCCTGCTGCAACAAAACATTACAATCATATAGAGGGCTTTTCCCAAATTTGACTGCAAAAGTGGAAATGCACTTTACATTGATTTACTAGCAAAAATCGTAATGCATTTTTTTTTCTTTTTTTCCTTACAAGCTTAATTGATCGCAGAGGAATTATACAAGCTGATATGGCACAGTCAGTCGCACCATCCAATGGATTGACTATGTATGGTTCTACTCAGTCACAGAGCAGTATGGTAAGACTGCCTCTTTTATGTTCTATGTAGTTCTATGACAGGATGATACTAAAACTAATAATATGGTCTTTCTATGAC